TACAAAATAGACAATTTCATGTTCGAATGGTACACACAAACCAAATTCTTGAAAAAAACGAACAAATATTTTTTTTGCAAAATGCTATTGTACACACACACGAACACACGCATAAACACACACACACACACACACACACACACATATATATATATACATATATATATATACATATACACATATATATGTATACATATAATATATATAGACACGCACGCACGCATGCGCGCACGCAACACACACACACACACACACACACACACACACACACACACACACACACACACACACACACACACACACACACACACACACACACACACACACTTATACTTGTACTGCACATATACATACAAATACACACATTTATGCACATATATAACTGCATAAAGTCGAGCATGAGCATGAGCCTCCTGCTCATTGGTCGGAATTCGGTGAAGATCCGGATTCGCGACGACACGACAAGCCCTGTCACACTAGCACTTCCTCCATTAACTTTAACATAATTCTAGGAACTCTTGCGCGCAAATGGCTCAGCCCCATCGTGTCTGCGGAGAACACCGTTGACGTGTAAACAAACAAGGTTACATCTGAGTCTTGGACTTCCACCAGCAAGGGTCTTGTCTTGTGGGTACTGACTCATACTTTCCATGAAACGAAAAGAAGAAAATCCTATAGAACCTCGTCCACAAAACAGCATCGAGGGAGCAAACCTTTTCATGGTAGTGCGGGATATTTAGTAGTTGCAGGTCTCGAGAATCAATATATACATTATCTTAAAGAAATATGAATAGGTAAAGGATGCTACTATACTGTAAAGAAGGAAAAGAGAAATCTATAATAGTAGGTTATGCCTTCATGGCTTTTAGTTAAAACAATCTAGCGGTAAAGATTGTCAGCAGCACAAGACCAAGACGAAAATTCATAAAACAAAAAGCGGTCGTCTGCGCACTCGTCTGGGAGCGTCCCGCGTGCCTCAGATTCACGCGGAAACGTAATATTGACGTGCTAGTGTGTCAGGGCTTTGCAGGATTATTCACTATTGCAAGCCGTCATGGAATACCAGTGTAAATCGGTTAGAAATTGCGTGATAAACTTGTGTATTATGACTGGATTATTTTTCTGTGGTTCTTCGGTCTTGATTTGTCCGCGTATCTCATTATACAGTCAGATTTATTCCAGTCTGTTTTATTGTTTTCCTTAGTACATTTTTGATTAACCATAAACGTCTTTATGGGCTACTATTGAAACACATTCCTAATTAAGGACACTTAAAAGACATTCTCATTGCATCTATCTGATGAACACATTGAAGGCACTGCAATAACAAGGACAGTTGTACATCAAAAGCAAAACAATAATGACATTTCAAAAGACACCCACATTGCACGTAATCAGAACTGAGAGCCAGAATGAAGCTAACTTGGATAAGAATGGAAACATTTTGTTATTTGGAAAGTGCCTCATGGAAAGAAGCGGATTTCGTTTTATCTTTGGAAGTGTTTTTACATCTTTCCAAAGAAACCGGGGACAGTCAAGTGAAAACTTATTACTTATAATTAACTTATATAATGCCTATCATCACTTCTGGGTTTTAGTTCGGGGTTGAACAGAAACTGTTTCTGCAATGGCTGATCATCAGTTATTCTCATTCAGTTACAATATGTAAATGATATATCCTGCCACCAGTTCAAGGTAATGTTCGCCACAGATTACTTAATTGAATATATATATATATATATATATATATATATATATATATATATATATATATATATATATATATATATATATATAGATAATCATCTAATTAGAATACTATTTGAAGTGGTGGCCTCATTTTAATAATAGATATCGATCAGCTAAAGCGAATTTTTCTCTTCCGTACTCACTTCCTCCTAAGGAGCGATCACACGAGCATTTTCATCACCAACAGTGTGCAAATGACTGCTCGTTCCGCGCGCTCTGCTCACAAAAGCCCATCGCCCGCAGCCGTCGGTCCCAGACATGGCAAGCGCTTCTAGAGCACGCACCGGCCTTTTCGCAGAAGCAACGACTATTTCGCAAATTTGTGGCAAGAAACGAAAGAACAGACAGGTGTGGGTTTGTCCCTGGTTAGCAAGAGGGGAAAGGTGTGTTTATCATGATTTTTAATGGTTTTCAAGCTTGCACCACAACGCAACCGTGTAAATAGAGATGGTGCTGTATCCATAGTCAAATTATACTTGATTTCATAATTAATCTGAAAATACTAATCTTATGTGTTTGAAATACAAAATTACAAAAAAATAGTAATGGATATGATAGATATAATAAAGAATACATAACCAATATATTTCATATTTTCATTTATGTTCGTTTGCGAGGCTACATTCGAACGATGCTGGTCATGCGTGGAAAACCAGCCCACGCGCACGCGAATCCGTGTGCGTCAAGGAGTCCTTTATCACCAACAAACCGTGTTGGGGATAAAGCGCTCGTGTCACCCCCCTTTCGGTCATCACCTCCTCTTACGTCTTCTGTTATGTCAAATTTTTTCACGTCACCTCCACGTACGACGTCACTCCCAGCCACCTATGACGTCACTCACAGCCATCTCACGTAGACCGCGAGAGGTAGTCCGCCCTGAGGACGGCAAACGAAGTGTAGTCATTTTCCGGGAAGTAGTCCTGCAGGGAAGCGTTGAGGACGACCGCCGTCCCAACCAGGATGATGTAGATGGTGAAGGAGACCCACCAGCACACCCGCTCCCAACGCCTCCGCTGCAGGTTCCGGAGGATGCTCACGCCCACCAGCACGCCCGCGATGGCCCCGCCCAGGTGAGCCATGTGCCCCGTCTGCGAGGGAGGAAGCTTCGTCAACAGAGTCCTCTCGACGGCGATTCCGCCTTTATCTAGTTTCGCTAAGTTTGTTTTTCTTGTCATCGTTTTTATATTTTTATCTTGATATCTTATTACTTTAACATCTAAATATATGTTTCTTTCTCTTTACACCTTCGCACATCTATATATCTATATTCATCTTTCTCTTTCTCTTGCAAACATATCAATATCTATATCTACATATGAATATCAGCTTTCTCTACATCAGCGTTGAAAGGCGAGAGAATGAACAAAGGAGGGCATGTCTCACGTTCGAGGGCGTGGCGCTGCCGTAGGTGTCGTAGAAGGCGTAGCTCAGATCCAGGACGCTGACGAAGATAATGATGATCAGCTGAATCCAGCGGTACTCCATCTCCGACCAGTTCTGCAGAGAGACGGGGGTGGCGTGGGTAAGGGACGAGGGTATTTAATCAGCTGGGCATTGTGTTGGATGTTGTGTGTTTTATAGTGTTTAATGGCCTCCCACACATATACTCACACTCTGACAACAATTCAATAGTTCCTCTCAAACACGCTCTCCTGCCTAACATCCAAACGCAAACTCTCCCTTCCCTTTTCCCCTCTTAAACAAACACCCAATCTCTCATTTCCTTTTCCCTTTTCCACCCACACGCCGATCTTCTCCTCCAATAAAAAGACAGCTAACTCCTCTCCCTTTCCCCTCTGAGGTACAAACACCCAATCTCACCCCTCACACAGGCTAACTCACACCTTCTTCTCTCCCTTTTCCCTTTCCAAACACACACAGACGCCCATTCTCTCCCCTCTCTTTTTCCTAACACACAAACGTCCTCTCTTTCATCTCCATCTCCTTCCCTCCCTTCCATTCTCTCTCTCCCTGCCTCCCTCCACCCCATTTCTTTCTCTCTCTCCCTTCCTCCACTCCATATTATCTCTCCCTCTCTATATCTCCACCCCATTCTCTCTCTCTCTCTCTCTCTCTCTCTCTCTCTCTCTCTCTCTCTCTCTCTCTCTCTCTCTCTCTCTCTCTCTCTCTTCCTCTCCGTGTCCGTCTCCGTCTCCGTCTCCCTCTCCCTCCCTCCCCTCCATTACCCCATTCTCTCCCTCCCTCCCCCTCCCTACCCCTCCCTCTTCCCCTCACGCAACCCCTTACCAGAACGAGGTTCCCCGCGTGCGCGTACATGACCGAGTAGACTCCCCCCGACGCCCCCGCCAGGTACATGGAAGGGGCCGTGAGCGAGTGCGCGAGGGAGCCTGCAAGGACGCCGGCGAAGTACACGAGCATGATCCTCCACCAGCGATGCACGAGTTCGAGGAGGACGCCGAAGATGAGCTGCATCACGAGGTTGGTCACGAGGTGGAGCCAGCTGGTGTGTGTGGGGGGGGAGGGTGGGAGGGGGGAGGTAGAGGAAGGAGATGAATTAGTTATGGGTGTTTGGGTTACCTGCCTGTATGTCTGCCTGCCTGTTTGTCTGTCTGTCTGTCTGCCCGCCTACCTGCCTGTCTGTTTGTCTGCTTGTCTATTTGTTTGTTTGTCTGCCCGCCTACCTGCCTGTCTGTCTGTCTGCCCGTCTACGTGCCTGTCTGTCTGTCTGCCTGTCTGTCTGTCTGCCTGCCTACTTGCCTGCCTGCCTGTCTGCTTGTGTCTTTCTCTTTCTGTCAGTCAGTGTTACTCTCTTTCTACCCGTTTGGTGCCTATCTGTCTGTCTCTCTACCTGTCTCTCTCTCGTTCTGCCTGTCTGTCTGTCTGTCTGCCCGTCTACGTGCTTGTCTGTCTGTCTGCCTGTCTGTCTGTCTGCCTGCCTACTTGCCTGCCTGCCTGTCTGCCCGCCTGCCTGCCTGTCTGTTTGTGTCTTTCTCTTTCGGTCAGTCAGTGTTACTCTCTTTCTACCCGTTTGGTGCCTATCTGTATGTCTCTCTACCTGTCTCTCTCTCGTTCTGCCTGTCTGTCTGTCTGTGTCTCTCTCTCTCTCTCTCTCTCTCTCTCTCTCTCTCTCTCTCTCTCTCTCTCTCTCTCTCTCTCTCTCTCTCTCTCTCTCTCTCTCTCTCTCTCTCTCTCTCTCTCTCTCTCTCTCTCTCTCTCTCTCTCTCTCTCTCTCTCTCTCTCTCTCTCTCTCTCTCTCTCTCTCTCTCTCTCTCTCTCTCTCTCTCTCTCTCTCTCTCTCTCTCTCTCTCTCTCTCTCTCTCTCTCTCTCTCTCTCTCTCTCTCTCTCTCTCTCTCTCTCTCTCTCTCTCTCTCTCTCTCTCTCTCTCTCTCTCTCTCTCTCTCTCTCTCTCTCTCTCTCTCTCTCTCTCTCTCTCTCTCTCTCTCTCTCTCTCTCTCTCTCTCTCTCTCTCTCTCTCTCTCTCTCTCTCTCTCTCTCTCTCTCTCTCTCTCTCTCTCTCTCTCTCTCTCTCTCTCTCTCTCTCTCTCTCTCTCTCTCTCTCTCTCTCTCTCTCTCTCTCTCTCTCTCTCTCTCTCTCTCTCTCTCTCTCTCTCTCTCTCTCTCTCTCTCTCTCTCTCTCTCTCTCTCTCTCTCTCTCTCTCTCTCTCTCTCTCTCTCTCTCTCTCTCTCTCTCTCTCTCTCTCTCTCTCTCTCTCTCTCTCTCTCTCTCTCTCTCTCTCTCTCTCTCTCTCTCTCTCTCTCTCTCTCTCTCTCTCTCTCTCTCTCTCTCTCTCTCTCTCTCTCTCTCTCTCTCTCTCTCTCTCTCTCTCTCTCTCTCTCTCTCTCTCTCTCTCTCTCTCTCTCTCTCTCTCTCTCTCTCTCTCTCTCTCTCTCTCTCTCTCTCTCTCTCTCTCTCTCTCTCTCTCTCTCTCTCTCTCTCTCTCTCTCTCTCTCTCTCTCTCTCTCTCTCTCTCTCTCTCTCTCTCTCTCTCTCTCTCTCTCTCTCTCTCTCTCTCTCTCTCTCTCTCTCTCTCTCTCTCTCTCTCTCTCTCTCTCTCTCTCTCTCTCTCTCTCTCTCTCTCTCTCTCTCTCTCTCTCTCTCTCTCTCTCTCTCTCTCTCTCTCTCTCTCTCTCTCTCTCTCTCTCTCTCTCTCTCTCTCTCTCTCTCTCTCTCTCTCTCTCTCTCTCTCTCTCTCTCTCTCTCTCTCTCTCTCTCTCTCTCTCTCTCTCTCTCTCTCTCTCTCTCTCTCTCTCTCTCTCTCTCTCTCTCTCTCTCTCTCTCTCTCTCTCTCTCTCTCTCTCTCTCTCTCTCTCTCTCTCTCTCTCTCTCTCTCTCTCTCTCTCTCTCTCTCTCTCTCTCTCTCTCTCTCTCTCTCTCTCTCTCTCTCTCTCTCTCTCTCTCTCTCTCTCTCTCTCTCTCTCTCTCTCTCTCTCTCTCTCTCTCTCTCTCTCTCTCTCTCTCTCTCTCTCTCTCTCTCTCTCTCTCTCTCTCTCTCTCTCTCTCTCTCTCTCTCTCTCTCTAGAACATTGCACAGAACTTGAACAACCGCATTGCAAAACCAGCCTCGCAACCACTCACCCCGAATGAATGAGGGCGTAGCTGACGAACCGCCAAGCCTCGTAGCGCCTGTAGGGGTTGTAGATGAGAGGCGAGTAGATGGGGGCCGGGCCAGACGCGCCCATCGGCCGGTCCATGTCGAGGGCGTAGTAGGTGAACACGCCGATCTGTCGGAGTGGAGAGTGTGAATGGAGGGCATGGAGAGAGAGAAAAAAATGGAAGGGAGAGCATTAAAACATATTTCAAGTAGAGAGCATCACACAGACACAGGCACTTACACAGACATACACACACACAGACACACACACGCACACACACACACACACACACACACACACACACACACCACACACACACACACACACACACACACACTCAAACCACAGTCACAAACACAGGCACTTACACACACACACACACACTCACATGCGTGCACACGAGAGCCCTACCTCCACCAGCGACGCCAGCACCATGAAGAAGGGCGGAGGGCAGCAGCGGTAGTACTCGATGTAACGCCTCGCCTCCACCGTCCTATCGCCTCGGGGCAGGATGCTGAGGGCGGCGCGGTTGAAGCCCTGGCGCCCTTCGCCTCGCGCCCTCGCCTCCTCCGTCTGGGGGGGTAGAAGGGGGGGAAGGGAGGGAGGAAGGGATGGGGGGAAGGGAGGGAGGGAAGGGAGGAGGGATGGAGGGGGGTAAGGAGGAGGAAAAGGAGTAGGAGGGGGAAGGGAGGGGGGAGGGATGGAGGGAAGGAGGGGGAAAAGGAGTAGGAGAGGGGAAGGGAGGGAGGGAGAGGAAGGAGGTAGGAAGGAAGAGAAGTGGATGGATGGGGAAGGGTCGAAGGGGAGAGAAGGGATAGGGGAGTTTAGGGGGATGGGAGGGAATGCAGGAAAGGATAGAAGGGGAGAAGAGGGGACGGGAAGGGAGTGAAGGTGTAGGAGGCAATACAGGAGAACAGGGGTGGGAGTTGGAGGAGGCGGGGAGGGTGGAGAACGGGTGGAGGGGGGGGATGGTGGAGGGAGGGAGAGGTGGAGGGGGAGGGTAGTAGGTTGGAGAAGGGAGGCGGAGGAGGTGAGCGTGGAGGTAGTGAGGTGGGGGTTAGTGATACAGACGCAGAAGAGGGTAGAAAAGGAAGGGGGAAGAAGGAAAGAAAAATGAATTTGAGAATAGAAATATATCTGTGTGAGTTAATTCTCTTTACAAGGAATATATATTCACACCTTTAAAAAAATCTACCGATCACAAAATCAATCATAAAAAACAAAAAACAAAAACCAAACAAACAGAGGAAAAAAAACTCACGAACTGCATGTACTCCTCATAGCTAAGATACCCATCGTAGTTCTTGTCGGCCTCCTGCAGAAGCTGGATGACGAGGGCGTTGGCGAGGCCGTCGGCGTCCTTGGTCCTGAGGATGCGCTCCTTGAGGCGGGCCAAGGGGATCCTGCGCTTCCTGTCGGGGTCCTGAAGGTCCCAGAACTCCTGCGCGATCTGCCGGTAGCGGTCGGGCGGCTGCTTAGGAGTGCAAGGGGGGGGGGCGAAGGGTGCAGGAAGAGGGGGAGAGGAGAGGAAGGGGAGAGGGAAGAGGGGAAGGGGGAAAAGGGGGAAAGTAGGGAAGAGGGGGAAAGGAGAAGAAGGGGAGAGGGAACAGGGGAAGGGGGAAATGGGGGAAAGAGGGGGAAAGGAGAAGAAAGGGAGAGGGAAGAAGGGAAGGGGGAAAGGAGAGGAAGGGAAAAGGGAACAGGGGAAAGGGGAAAAGGGGGAAAGTAGAGAAGAGGGGGAGAGGAGAGGAAGGGGAAAGAGAAGAGGGGAAGGGGGAAAAGGGGGAAAGTAAAGAAGAGGGGGAGAGGAAGGGGAGAGGGAAGAGGGGAAGGGGGGAAAGTAAAGAAGAGGGGGAGAGGAGAGAAGGGGAGAGGGAAGAGGGGAAGGGGGGAAGTAGGGAAGAGGGGGAGAGGAGAAGAAGGGATGGGGGGGAAGTGGGGTAGAGGGAAAGAGGGGAAGAAGGCAATAGGTCAAGGGAAAGAGGGAAGGGGAGAGAAAGGAAAACGAGGAAAAAGGGAGGCGAGAGGGAAAGTGAAGGAAGAAGAAAGAGAAGAAGGAAAGAAGGGGAGGGGGAAGACAAGAAGACGGAAACAGGAAGAAGAGAAGGGAAGGGAAAATAGGAAGAAAGTTAGGAGAAAGGAAAGGGAAAAGGGAGAGAGAGGAAGAAATAGACGAAGGGAGAAGAGAGGAAGAAATAGAGGAAGAAAAGGGAGAGAGAGACAGAGAAGAAATACAGACGAGAGAGGAAGAAGAAAGAAAGTACAAACAGATATAAAAAGAACGAAGAGAGTTGTAGAAAAAAAAGAAGAATAAATCAAATGAAAGATTAATACAGAGGAATGGAACCAGACAATTCGATAGATAAATGACAGTGGACAAGACAAAATGAAATAAAATGAAACCAAACAAGATAAAGACGAAACATAAGAAATGAATCAAAATGAAATAGGATGAAACAACGACAAAAGGAGAAATGAAGGAATTGGCACGAAGGATAGATGAATAGGCAGAGAGAGGGAGGATTTGGGGGAAAGAAGAGAGAGCAGCATTAAGCAACGACCCACATGGCACGAATGAACACAGACAAACACAAATGCTCACACACGCAAACACACCACTGCACAGACACGCACACGCACGTGTCTACAAATACATACATATGCTCTTGCACATTCAAATAACGTACGCAGAGTAAAGCATACATACATAGATAAATACATACATATATCTACATAAACGGGTGAATACATACAGCTATGAAACAAAATATTTACAAAGCTATATTTTACATTTCACAAAATTTGAAAAAAACAACAACCCATATAGGCCTATGGTTCTATAAATAATAAAAATTATACTTATATTTAGACAAATAATTTACCCAATTTTGATAGTATTAGCTACAGCAACAAGTAAAACATTTCAAAATTGTTAAAAGGGTACATGAATAAGCACAAGCTTTATCAATAATATTAATGAGCAAGACTGAAAAATGCAAATTTTATTTCCTAGTTAATGATCTTCTGATAATGAAGTGCAGCGAAAAGATTAGTTCATGAATTTCTGATAGATTCATGAATATCCTTTTCATTATATCATCATACCTTTTTAACGTATAATAAAATGATAATGGTATACAAAAGTATAATCACTATATATCATACTACAAAAATCAAAATCTGATTAAGGAGCGAACACTAAACAAAAAAAGTTCAGAAAAAAAACACAATACGTAAGTCAAAATATATGTCGGACCAGAAGCTAATTTGCATAGAGAAAAGGAAATCCAATTCACCATAACGCATATCATCCGGAAATCTTTCTATTAATAAAACATAATCCAATCAACTCAAATGAGATATTAAGGTATAAAAAACGTAGCGCATTTACTATAAATGTACTTACATTACGACAGACATAGAACGCCATAAACAGAACGGATAGCCTAACAACGCAGGATGTTCAATTAACGCCTTTCGAGCCATTTGTTCATTTCCACTAACATTTTCTTTGCTAGGAAGTACTTACATCAGTAAAGCGTAATCCTTTTCACTAAATGTTTTATATTTATGTCAAAAATTGCTTAGGACGTCAAAGATGATAAATACCTCATTTAACTGAATTTAGTTTCTAGTAGATACGATACTAACTTCAAAAACCTTACAAGGTATTTAAGCTATTTAACACTTACATAT